AATAATTTGGAGACCATCACCGAACGGTCCCGATTTCAGCAAACTATATCAGTCGAAACTGTTAGCGCTCAGGAAATACAAACCCAACGACACCAAGATCAACACCAATCCCGAGCACCAAATGAATCCGAAATCAAGGGATCAAGCGTGTTGGAATTAGGTTCAAACCGCCAATTTTGAGTTAGACCAAACAGGGTCATCGCAGATTTTGCGAAGCTTTATACTCGAAATCGAACGGGTCGACGAGACGCATACCAAGACCGAGAGGAGCGACCGAGGAACCAGAATCAACATAAAGGCCTCAAATGTCCAATGAACGGAGTCCCAACAAGTCAAAGGGTTCAAGCACACCCGAAAACCATTTCCCAACTCTCGCCTCTCACTCAACCCATAACCATCTTGGTCGCTCTCGATTCTCTGCCCTCCAAACACCCCAAAAAAAAATTAACGTCCAAAGCCTCCACCTCCTCTCATACATGACACATCCAACGCCTCCCTCCTCTCAATACATAGACACATCCAACGCCTGCACTCCGTCAGCTCCTACAGCAGTTGGCACGACCCTGGCTAATCTTCTAAATATTGAGGTTAATTTCTTCTACAAGTTCTCCTCCATGATCTATCCTCATACTAATAATTGTTATCTTCATCTTCTTTGTTGATTTAGAGAGAATGATTGCCATATAAGAGGTTGGACTGAATGAGTTGTATCGTAGTAGTTGGCTATATAGTATTAGATTTTGGAGTGTTGTATATATGAGATTGAGCGCGTGTCAGTATGTTTATCAGGAAGAATCATTACATTAGGCTACTGAAGATATTGAGTTCTCGTGTGTCATTTGCTTCATACATTCTAGATCATTTTGTAACTGGATTCTGTTAGTTATTGATTGAGAACCTATAACTATTTAGATTGTGTATTCATGCGATTTATCTTTGAGATTATCTTTCTGAGATTATATAATGTTTATTTAGGTCATAACATAATGGTCGACCTTATTGTCGTAATGTACAGCAAAATTAGAATTTGGCTGTAACGAAATAATAAGGGTGTCTGAATAGATGCTATCATATTTGATGTAAAGGAGGTTCTTAGTGTCTGTCTTTATGTCATCTGGAGAATTCTTCAGCATTAACACGAAGTAAACAGATTATGAGAATTGTCTCGATCTTTCGCGCACGTATTCTTGACTATGATTACTACGTTCTTTTTTTTTGATAAGATTGATTTTTGGTCTCCTCTGGCTTTAAGATATGTGCAGCGGATTTGGTATTGGCTTCATGTTGTATGTCTATTTCAAGATCTGTTTAGATATTTGTTCAAGTGAGATAAAGTTTACGGAGTTCTGATTTGGCTTCTATTTTTATTTTTTAAATTCTTGTAGATTGGGTACTGTACTGGATTCATTTAAATAATGCTTCAAATAAAATTTTTGCCATGAGCTTTGATATGTGCATCAGTTCTTATGATATCTTGTATAGTACATTTTCTATCTGCTGAGTTAATAATTACTGTATTCTCATTATATGTTTTAGTAGAGTAGTTTAAAAGATTGAGAATCCTGCTTGCTATCTACTTTATTTACTATTTATGTGTTCTCGGAATATTTTTTTGAAGCACTAGAAATAAGCATAATGCGTCACGCATATTTTATTTTTTGATTGAACAATTGTTCACATTGGTATGTTTGTAGGCATCTCTTCTGTGACCTACTATTATCTCTTCGTAGAATAGAATATTTCGACGACTGTTTCATGAGTTCTGACGTAAGAAGTAGGAGTATTCGACTAAGAGTGGCACTTTTGTTGTGCATTTTGAAATAGAGCTGTTTTCATGTCTCCGTATTAGAGGATAAGCTAATAGGATCAGTTACATACTATCAATAGCATTAGGATTTAATGAGGTTGTTTGAACATATAGTTAATATGCTGTTACAGAGGTTGTATCATTAATGCGGAGATTATTGCACAATACATCCGTGTGTATTTGCGATGTTAATATGGTTTGAAAAGAGTACATGGGTGCTCTATATAAGATGTCAATTAGTAGTTATGAGACTAGTATTTTGGCTAATTTAGAAACGCACAGTGAGTGTAGGATGATTGTAATTTGAAAAGATGAACAATTATGTCTGTATTTAGCTGAAAGAGAGGGATCGGTATACATATGATGTCATAGTTTAGTAAACCTAAAAATATCTTATGAATTAGTGAAAAGTGTAACGCTTGCAGTAGGCTGATTACTTATTTTTGAGGAATTGGAGCTTCTGAACAATTGTCGTGAAAAATGACAACCATAATTGTTAACTGATAAGTACAGAAGTGTAAGTTTGCTGTGTCTTACGCTATACCTGCATATGTTAAGGGATTTTGCACACATTATTGGTGATAATAGTGCATAAAATTCTGTTAATAGTGATTTTGTTATGTAGGACGGTAATATCGATCGTTTAGGTGGTTGTAGGTCGGATGCTCCTGAATTATGTTAATTGCCATGGAGTGTTGGAAAGGTGGGAACGTAAAGTAGTATATATACTTGGTGGTGGGGAGTTAGGTGGATAGAATTAGATCAATGAGTTAAAGTAAATCAAATAAGAGAGTGAAGTGTATGGCGTGAGTATAAAGTGCACTCCTTTGTGGTAGGAAGTGAAGTTGTAGGTTAGAGATTGTGATTACATTACGATAAATAGGATAAGTATTTCTGAAGGGCAATGGCCTCTCTTTCTCTCTCTAATTCTCTCATTCATTATTTCATGTCACTCTAATTTCTTCATTCTTCCCTATTCTCTAATGTGGTTAGACCTATCATTCTGGATAGTCGGGTATCATTTGAGATCGGAATGTGCAATTATTAGGATAGGATTCAGACGAATATAGCTATAGTTACAGTAGTTATATATCGCGATTACTCTATGGGAGGTGAGAGAGCATTATATTTCACAAAGCTAGTGGCTATCAATGCTTACTGCCGCGCAAGGACAGAGGTAAATGGTCTTCTATTTTTCAGTAATTTAAATTATTATTTACTTACTCAATATTATAATAAGGCCTCATTACTCAATCCCCATTTTTTCACATGCATGTTTTCTTCCTCCATTACTGCAGTTCATGCAATCTTACACTCTCGAGGAAGATCCGGTCAGTCCATATTGCTGAGTGGTTCGAGGGCGAACGAAAAGACAAGGAGCTAATACGTCCAGGGTGGTTGGTTGGCAGGCGCCTTTCATGCGACCAGACGCGCTCTTGTGGGGACTAGATGGAGCGCTGCTAGGCTAATTACGGCAGGAAACCACCTGGTCGTATATGAGCCCCTCCTGGTCTGACTGTGATACTCAGCACTGAGTCATAGGCGATTCACTAAGCACGAAGTGCGCTGCACCCCTCATCGCCTACCTACTGCTACATCTGTGGTCCTCGGGGTTTGTTGTTGTAAGTAGAGAATTTATCCTCAACTTGTGCACAATCATGGAACTCTCTATGGAGGAGAATTTCTTTGAAGGCGGTTACCTGACCTACCCTTCATCAGCGTAAAACTGACATAAGAATGTGTCGCTGAAAAGAATGCTCTTGTCCATGCAAGAAACTGAAACCTAGTTTCCAACAAGAAAGATGGCGCATGCTTCGAGACGGCGCGATTTGACAACGTCGTGTTGCTCACAGTCCAGTTTGAGGACCATAGGTACCGCACGCTGCAGAGCTCAGGAGTTTTTCCTCAAACTTAACATAAATTCTAGAGATCCCCTTTCAAATTAATCAGGTTGAGTTCCAATGGTCTGGTCTAAAGTTGATCTATCTGGATTCTTAGAACCCAGTATTGAAATCAGTTAGGAGTACCTAGTTCTTTCTTATTAAATGAAATAATCAATTATTGCTAATTAAACCACAATTTGGAAACACTGATCAGATAATGGTATTATATTCAATTCTAAATATATTTCAATCACTATATAAATGGATTCAAATTCGAATTCAACTCCATAATTAATTGAATTCTTGGACCTGTTCCCTGAAAGTTAAATTGGAATAAAGGTATAGGAGGGACCCAAATTGATCACGCTGCAAGTTGATCAAAAGTTATATCTACTTGCTCAAATCAAATTGAACCAAATAAGCATATGTGGTTCCTGCATATACATTTGATTGACTCACCAGAATTTATTTGAATCAATTGTTGAATGATTGGAAATAAACTTGTTTTATTATTATTATTATGTTATTATTGAATAAACCTTAGTTGGCCCAAAGTAATTTAAGTTTGATCTCGGTTTAACTCAAATGAGGACTCATAACCGAGGACATCGTATGACGGCTTACGGGAGGATCTAGACCGCAAGATCAAAAGTTAAATGTACCAAGGTCCTTTGAGACATTCAGTCAAGGCTTTTGCGTTAACCCATCTTTTGTTCTTATTAAAACATGCTCTGTCACCATCATGTTAATAAAATGGCCTATCAGGCCTAACACTACAACTTTAAATGATTTTTTTTGTGAAGCTTGTCTGGAACATATAAACTCATGTATAA